TCCCTGAAAAAAACATGCAATTCATGTTCTTGAGAGATCCTGAAGATACATATCAATCATGCCCTTATTTTGGTCTTTTTTCCCTAAATGAAATCTGAGATTTATAGATTAGGACATGGTATACCGAGTATACCTACATACATATATAAATAGGTTTATTCCATGCTGAAAAAAAGAAAAGAGAAAACACAATGTTTCGGCCGTTGAGCCTCTTTCAGGTGTGAGCCTCCTTCAGGTGTGAGTCTTCTTCAGGTGTGAGCCTTCTTCAGGTGTGAGTCTTCTTCACACCTGAAGAAGGCTCCACAGCCGAAACATTCTGTTTTCTCTTTTCTTTTTTCCAGCATGGAATAAACCTGTTACTTGTTCCTTTGCAGCCTACGCATGCTGACGCAGCTCCCCACCTGAACTATATATATAAATGGACATTGTATATTGTAGTTCTAGATGCCATGTATGTGAGATAAGGAGAGCTGGAAGCATGTACAATCAGTAGGGTGTAGCACTAGTAAGAACAAGATGAAGAATGATTAACTGCTCCATAGCTAGAAACCCACTGGCTCCTCAGGCTTCAAGGCGTGAAGCAATCAGCACGAGTCCATCACAGGGCGTACCCCCAGAAATGCTGGTCTCTGCTTGCACTTGTGGGTGAACTGGAGCAACTGGGGTAAAGCACCTCACTCAAGGTACATCAGCAGTCTCTGCAGCCTGGGCTTGTAACCCCCAACCCACCGGGTAACGAGTCCAGAGGCGTACCCAGGACGTTACGCTCCCCCCTAACTTAGCGCAGGAAAATGCGTAGTGTTAAAGACTACATTTACCATGATTCCTAGCGATTTCGTGGCTGGTGGGTTCCCTTGACGTTCTCAATGACAGATGATACATTGACGTCATCGCAGGGCCCTCCCTTCCCCTCGGTGTATGGATACAGAGTGTCAGAAGTACAGAGTAACTGAAAGAGCTCGGGTGTTGCTACATTGTCACTTATCAGGAGGAGAGAAACGAAGGGGAAAATGGCGAAAACGTACGATTATCTTTTTAAACTCTTGCTCATAGGAGACAGCGGGGTCGGTAAGACTTGTCTGCTTTTCAGGTTTAGCGAAGATGCGTTCAACACCACCTTCATTTCCACTATAGGTAAGTTAACGGGTTTCTTTTTATCTATTTTAACATTTTCGGGGGGTAGGTAGTTTGACGAAGGTAATTGAGCTATTGCATAGCAGAAAGACAGCGATATGAGGACACTGACACAGGAAAAGGCCTAGAAACTAGAGTAGCATCTTTACTCCACCAAGAGCACAGGAAATGGCTTTTACACAGCGAAGTTTCACTACAGACAACGGAACGTTGTTACTGTCAAGTTCTCTATTCGTACGCCTTGCACGGTGTGTGTTGTTCGATGTCCGATGTTTCTGTGAATCTATAATCATGTGCATTGCTTTGAAAACAAAAATCCAAATTGCTGAAATTCTCTCTTAAGTATAGATGCATATATCTAGATTGGAGGAGACATAAAAGCTATTTTCATTTAAAACCGGCACCTAAAGCTTTGGAAGCAAAGAGGGGAATAGCAAAATAACTTAATGAAACGTTAAACGTACCCTGAAAAAGTTCCAACTTGTTCATTTTCCATCACATTGTCTTGTGAAGTACATCACAATGTGCTTTTTTTATTTACTAGAGTGTACAGTATACCTCCGTAAACAGTATTTTTGACATTAAAACAATGGAAAGTTATTAGCAATGACGTGAAACTATAAGAAGCCTATTGTAAAAAAATAAATCCGATTCATGGGCAAAATGTATTTTTTTTTTTAACCTTGAGTTTGATTTTGAAGGGGCACTAGCTTCTGTCTTCCCATCATCATAATAACATTACAATGTAACATTAACATAGCTTGGTATAGCTTGGCACAATTCAAATCTATTACCTGAAGGTGAAGTTAGGAACATTTGAACATTCTATATGTAACGTGTTAACATAATATCACTTGTCTATTCACTTAATAATCAACACTTGATCGAAGGGATGTGTGTGATCAAATCTGGGATTACTGTCTTAACAAACTGGAATCTTTTCTGAATGAGATTCCTAATTCATGACGCCAGTTTTTATTTTAACTCTCACTTAAATTTCCTTATACAAGTCATTCAGGATAGGGTTTCCTGCCTTTCCCTAACCCGTGCAGCAAAGCAATGTTTCAGTCAAGAGCAGAAGTCACCATTCCCCTACTGACACACAATGACACGTGTTTCTCCCAACAAAAGGGAGTTCTGCTTCATCACTTTAGAAACATCTGCTCAGACAAAACCCCTGAAACCACCCTGAGAAACTTTTTTTTTCCCCTCTGGGATTTAAAAAAATAAATTCCTCAAATCTGAGGGAGAATCCCCCAACAGGTGACTGTGCCTGTACTGTACAGTATGTTTCCTGAATTAAACCGCGCTCCATACCTGCCTGTCCTTCGGAATTAACCTGTGTTTTTGTTGATCATTCTTGCATTGCAACCTCGTTTTCAGTTTTAGGTTGGCAAGGTTTTTAATTATGCTGAAAATCATTTACCTTATATGAGGTTATAGATGTGAGAAATACATATATTTGTGTTCCTTACAGAAAAATGTAAGAGACAGCCATTTTGCACCCCAGGGTTTCTTTGTTAGAATATGTACACATATCAACGACCCCTGTCTATTCTGCTTTTTCTGTAATAGTGTCAATCCTTGCAATATGCTTTCAGTAGAACAGGAATGTCTGTGTTATTTTGCCACCCAGAGTATTTCAGTGGGCATCAAAAATGTTCGCTGGGTTGAGATTGCCAGCCAGCCAGTCTGATAAATCTTAGGCGATACAGCTACTAAACCAGGCTACTGGCTGACTCACAGGTTATGCAAAAATAACAGAACAAATATGGATAATTTAATCTGCAGTTTAATTTATTACTGAACAGTCTAGACTGGAGATTCCTGAAGGCTTATTTTGCTTATTGATGCTTATACTGTAGGCCTAAGTATTTTCAGTGCAGGTAAACCACTAGATCAGTGCTCTTAAGCACCCAGATCTGAAATTGAAACTGAATAACTCAAGCAGGTGTCTTTTACTCAGCAGATGTAAATTAACGGGGCAGCTGTAACTTTTGATCTCCTAGGGTGACCTATGTAAGTAGCAGAACTTAAATGCCTGCTATGCTGAACCTGGTTGGTAATTCCTCAAAAACAGTGACATACATACAGTACAGGTGCAGGGTGACTGGCATGCACTAACACTGCAGCAATATGGTGGAGCTAAGGGATGGCTCGTGAAGGGCTGGATAGCTCTTCCTGGGCAAGAGACACCAGCTGATAGCGGTGCTGTGTGTCTGAAAGCATTACCATGCTGCGCGGATAACAGCACGCCTTGGAACAAGCAGCCTCAACAAAACTGTCTGCTGTTTGGTGTGGAGAGTTCTTAAGCAACAGAGCACCTTTCCAAACCCTGAGCCTTCTGTTTTGGTGTTGAACTCTATAGCAGCTCCTGAAATGACGGGCAGGGCTGTGTTTTCAGCTGTGACTCTTAAGCTTGTTCTGTACTCTTTTGGTGAGATATTCATTCTTATTTTGGTATAAGGGCTTGGTCTATGATGCGTGTACATTTTTCCAGCTGTAGCAGGCACAAAGAAAACTTTTGGGTGAACAAGTTGTTTTAGTTCGGTAGTTGTTTGAGTTTACTCCTGATGGGGTTTTTTAAATCCTCCCAGATATCAGGTGGATGCACTCTGGTAGCTACATGACAGAAAAAATAAAAGTGTCCCAGTGGGAGTATCGTTGCAATGCACTTCACCAATTTCATAGGTCACAATTGAAGGCTAAAAATGATGAAGAAATTTTAAAAAGTTCAAGGAAATATTTGGACCATCCAGTGTCTGTCCATCTGTACCCATCAAAATTGGGTAAGTGCAGATCTTTATGAATTAGTTTTATGTTTGGAGTAAAAATATTTAAGCTTCAATTCTCTTCACCAAGTCAGCGAGCCTGCATTTTACATAGTGAGGTAGGGAGCCTCAGTACACGTGCTTGATGTTTAGAGTCTTCAGATGTAGGCCTTCTCTGAACTAGGATAAAACATGTGGTTTAGTTTCTGGTTGTTCTGGATTTGCTACTAAAAATTGGTAATATGTTTTCTCTTTGTCAATTTGTAGTTGAGGAAAATATACACTCTGCTTCCTTGTGGCTGTGTTTTTTTTTTGCTTCATATTTCCCTGTACTCCTGAATTACAGAGTGCTGTGACCTCCGGCTGGGATGTAAGAATGGAGAAATTGGAAGGAATTCCCATGCTGGCACAAATGGAAAAGACCATAATGATATGATAACATTGCAGTGGTTTCCTCTGAAACAAACAGGAACCAAACGGGTGGAGAGTTGTTACGAGCTTTAGAGCATAGACTGAGTACTACAGTGGGAAATTCCCCTGGAAAGCAAACAAACTGAGCTGTACAGAAAGCCTTTTGAAAAAATACAGAAGTTTCCAGGAAAAGGTGACATTTTCAATTCTTTGTCACGATTTCAGCTCTTCAGCATGACTATTTTTTTCTTGCTTTCTGCATAGTTGATTTTATAACAATACCAGTTTTTTTTTGTTGATTTTATAGACTTGCAGTACCTTGTAATGCAGTAGGCTTTAGCAGTTCTAAGGCTGGTTTTAATCAAAGTAGTGTTTAACATGTGCTACTAGTGTGAATAAAAATAAAAGCTTTTATTTTTTTAATTTTCAGATAAACTTTAAGCAGTTACTCAAATACAGTATGCGGAATTGGGAAAAAATAGTTAATGTTGGGTGTTAAGGATAAACAAAAAAGGCGTGAGCTCTGGAATGTAGTAGATAAAAGTTTGTGAGTGATATTCAGAAACTAACAAAACCACTAATGAAATTATTAAACATCAAGTGTTCAGAAGGCATAGTAACATAAAATATCAATAGGTTAATCAGGTTGTTATACTGAACAAAAATGAGAGGAAGTCAATGTGGTCCATGCATGATAGTTATTATGGTTTGGTTTATGTAAAGCACTTTTTGAATGTAATCCAAATGTTGTTTCATACATTTCAGTTTAATTCATCTTAAATTTGGGATCCATACAAACACTCATTCCCATATTTCGTTGAAGAGTGATTAGTGGAAGGCAAGCCCTTGCTTATTATCTGCACTTGACATAAAGTGCTTTGTGTGTTCAAGTAGCCTGTGATATGTTTTTGAGCTGTAGACAGTGTCAGTGTCTTCTCAACAGCAATGTGCTGGCACTACTAAGTAAAACCCTCACAATTAAAATGTACAATTAGCAGTAGCACGTTCTCAAGATCTCAAGCTGTCATTTTTTTTTAACATGGTTTATTTATTAAAGAACAATCTTTGCAACTTTTGACCAGTGTTTTTTATTATGTTTTTGTGTGTGTGTGTTGGGTCACTATATTTGAAGTCCCTTCAGAAAGAACTGTTAATTGCACCAGAAGCTATGAATTAAAGCTGCCTTATGCTCATAAAGATATGCTACCCTGAATGAAAATATTTACATGTAGGTCTCTGCAGTAGGTACATGGAATTAGAAGTATGGTGCCCAGGAATAAAAGCAGTAGCCAGTTTCGGGAAGGCATGACTTCAGATCAGAATCAAGCTTTATTTTAATGTGATGCGAGTTTGTTTTGTTACATCTTGTTCTCTAAAGACTTTCAGCTTAATATAAATTGAAAGTGAATGTGCCTTCTTAAGGTCTGGGTGGACATCGTGGTTCTGAAGTGCAGGAAATGGCTGTGTTGGTGTTTTATTACTGGCTTAGTAGACCTGGCAGTGTGATTTGCTTTCCTGTCACCGTGAAGGAAAAATTCCCAAACAGCGTCTTCCAGATGAGTCCTCTTACATTAATGAACCTCTGGGTATTTCATTGTCAGGTGCTAGCGTATACAGTACGTATGGTGCAGAGTGAGATGAGCTGTATAATTACTGATTGTACTGTTAAAAAATATCATCTCTTCGCTTAAGTATATGGTGCTTCCCTACAGATGAGAAGAAACAAAAATTATTTCCCGTCTAAAATATAAGAGGCCTCATTAAGCTCAAAATTGATTGCTGTTGAAGTGACTTAAAGGTGATATTTGAAGTGAACAA